CTTCCGGCACAATAGATTAAGCAAACAAATCAGCTATTACATGGTTTCTTCGAATGAACGAGTACGCGAACTAGCATGATCGGACTATGGAAAGGGGGTTTAAAGGGTAACAATTTGTTTTCCCAAAACATAACATTTTGAAATTTATTCTAAACCATTTTGTAAAGCTTAAAACACATTTAATTTACCATAGTGAAGCGTTGTATACAATAGCTACAGAGAAAATTCCAAACACTGTAAATTATAAATGCCCATGCTCTTCTTATGGAGCATAAATAAACTATTGTAGTTTGCTTGTTAAAGGACGAAGTACCGGGGGACCGAGCCATGGTTCGGTATAATTTATTTCGATGGTAAAAGCAGTATAAAGGAAACTCGCGTTTTATTTACAACTTTGGATTTAATTATTTTTATTTAGGTTTCAGTGGAATATCAATTTATTATGATGGAAATGTTAACTTGGCAATCCATAACTTATTAATTCAATTTACAGTCGATTAAAATAGCTATTTACATTACAAGTGTAGTAAGAGCGTTTTTACATCACGCAGGTGAATGTTGTGCAACGAGCGGAAGCGAGTTGCATAATTTACCTAAGTGATGTAAACACGCTCTTGCGTAACGTGTAACGTACAAGATTTTACCTGACCCGACAATATTCAGGAGGTTACGAGCAATATGCTTCATTATCAATTTCACTCATCTTCTAACAGTACCGGTAACGTTCATTTACAAACAAAAGCTAGGTTAGGAAAATTCTTCAAAGCATAACAATAAAATCCAAACACACAGCTGATTTCTAGCGTTGAACGTCGTTGGCTCCATAGAGGTATATTTTTTAAGTTATCCACTCAATGTTATTTAAATGGGTTTCATTACATCACCGAGTGAGTTTTTTTCAACTTTACATCACTCGAGAAGTAAGGAAGTTGTATACATCACGCTTGGGATAGGGAAGTTTAACATGGCGGGTTAGGTAAACACCTTATAATACCTATAATTGCATGAACATTGTTGGGTCAGTTTGTTTAAATTAATGCAACTGATTAAAACTTTTTTTTTTACATTATAATTTACATACTGTAAAATAAATACTAGCTGTTGTACCCGTGCTTCGCAACGGAAAGGACACTGAAGCGAAAAATTTGATATTGAATTCTGATGTATGAAATAGTTACACATTCCTCTTTGTTTTCTGAAACATAACTCAATTGAAACTATTAGTTTAAAAAAGTATCTTTCTTTAAGGCCAGGCTAACTTATAAGGCTAGAGTAGGATACCCCCAGATCGGGCCCAAAACCACCCCTAGAGTGGTAGTTTAATCCTCTGGGGTAGTGAATACATATATGTTGAATGTTAGGGGTTGTTAGGGATAGTTTTGGGGTATTTTTAATTGATAGGGGTAGTTTTATGGGAGTTATCAGTTGATCATGTGACCTTTTTATATGTAGGTATTTTTATTAAACTATTTTGGTGGATAAAAAGTGTGTGCTTTGACTGAGGCTGGAACCCCGCTCTCCTAGATGTTGTTCCAATGCCCTATCTATAGGGCTATGATGTCAGTTATAGGTATGGTGTTTATAGTGGTAAATAACAACTTTGATTTCTTAATTATATATATAGGGTGTGTAAAAAAAAACATATTTTAATTTTATTTTTTACATATCTATATGCTTTAGTCTATAACAATTGTGAAACAAATGATAATTCATGTATCCAATGTTAAAAACAGCTGAAAGAAGGTTTAAGCGGAACTTTACCGTTGAGTATAAAAAATGGCCTTTGTAAAGGCCACCAAATGTTGGATGTTAAATTTATATTTTATATATGTTATGTATTTTTGGGATGATGGGTGGTTTGAATTTATGTTTTTTTCTAGTGGTTGGTTGTGTATGAAGATGTGTATGAATCAGAGGTTCACGGGTTCGATCCTTAGCAATCATCAAATGCTTTATTTCTGGTCAGGGTGATATGTTGATTTTTGTTATAGTGTTGTATCATAGTGGGAGTAGTGTGAGTCCTTTTTTTGATTTTAGAGGTTTGTGGGTTTGATCCTTATCAATCACCAAATGTTTTATTTTTGGTTGGGGTGTTTTTGGTATGGTGTTGTATTGTAGTGGGAGTAGTATGGGTCTTTGATTCTAGAGGTTCATGGGTTTGATCCTTATCAATCACCAACTGCTTCTCTTCTGGTCAGGGTGATATTTTGAGTGTTAGTATTGAAGTAGTAGTAGTAAACTTGTTTAGAATGTGAACCTATGATCCCGGAGGTTTGAGGGTTTGATCTTTATCAATAACTAAATGTTTTATTTCTGGTTGGGGTGATGAATTGATTCTTGGTATGGTGTTGTATTGTAGTGGGAGTTGTGTGAGTCCTTGATCTCAGAGGTTTGTAGGTTAGAATCCTACCAGTTATCAATTGTCTTATTTCTGGTTATGGTATTAACTTGTGTTTTAGTATGGTATTAAGAGTTTATGTGTGAGACATCATTCTCTGAGGTTGTGGGTCCGATCTTTACCAGACAACGATTGTTTTATTTTTGGTTGGGGTGTTTTTGGTATGGTATTGTATTGTAGTGGGAGTAGTGTGAGTTCCTTATCTTAGAGGTTTGTGGGTTTGATCCGAGCTAATCACTAAACGTTTTATTTCTGGTCAGGGTGATATTTTGAGTGTTAGTATAGTGTTGTATTGTAGTGGAAGTAGTGTGAGTCCTTGATCTCAGAGGTTTGTGGGTTTGATCCTAACCAGCTACTGTTTGTATCATATCTGATTGGGGTGATTTTTAATGTTGTATTGTAGTTAATTGTTTGTGTATGCTCTCAGAGGTTGTGGGTTTGATTTTTATCATTCAGTGATTGTCTCATTGCTGGTTACTGTAGGGTTTATCGTGGTATAGGGAGTTAACTGTTTGAGTGTGAGATTCTGAGGTTATGGGTTTAATCCTTACCAAACACTGATTATTTTGTTTCTGGTCACTATGATTTTGTATGGTGTTGTATTCTAGTTAACTGTTTGTGTATGAGTCTAGGGTTGAGGGTTTGAATCTTATCAGCGAGAGTAACATTTTTTATGGCTGTGTTATATGTTCCTGTCAAATTAATCAGCTATGACTTTTATTGTAAATATTGTATCTGTAACATAACCTTACTTGTATATATATGCTGTGTGTTTTTCTGCCAATGGTTTATGTTAATATATTAACCTTATTTGTGTATGTAGGAGCTGTCATCTGTTTTACCGCCAACTGTATTGCTAAATGATATAACCTCACTTTATATACTGTGTATGTTGTCTACTTTCCCGCCAACTGTTACAGCCATTCAACCTAACCTCACCTTCTTGCTAAGATTGTAATGCATACATAAAATAACCTCACTCTCTACCGAAAAAAGTCTATTGATTCATATTTGTGACACTGGAGCGCTAGTGTTGATGAAATCTGCTTTGAGCTATTTCTATTGATGTATTGAATAACAAAGCATCTACAGAACATCTGATAAAGCTTGTTCTATAGTAATGAATGCATATACTGGCTTACCTGTATCTCTGTAACTATTAATTTGACATGGGGGATTCACTACAACAGATTGTACTAATATATTGAAATTTGAGCACTGTACTTTTTACTATTGTTTGCACTGTATTTTAATATATCTTATTAATACATCAACACTTTTGTAGGGTTGTACTACAAGTATATCTGATATGTGTGAACTATGAGTGATGTCATCTTTCTGATATAACAACTGTTGACAGCTATTTGTTCATGTAAACATATTTATGTACTACCTCAACTCAGAGGCTGTGGGTTTGAATCCTACTAGTCACTGATCTGGTAGGGTAAATATTTTGATTTTTAGTATTGTATCCTGTTTGTGTATGATCTTTGGACCTTAACTGCAACCTAATGTATGTAGACCAAAACAAGACTTTTTTGGAGTTAACTTAGTGTCAATGAATTTTTATTTAGTGCTTATTTTTATTGAGGTGTTGAATAACAAGAAACAAATTGGGTAATTTCATCAAGTTTATAGTAATGAATGTAATTGATTTTAATGACTTTTCTGTATCTCTGATACTTGAAACTGGTACAGTATTACACTTGTACTACATTGTATTATACCTGTATTGCATGGTATTACACTTGTACTGCACTGTATTACACTTAATATTTGTACTGTTCTAATATACAATCACTTGTATAGAGTTGCATATCTGATAGCAATGACTGATATGTGTTGATCTTATCACCACTGATTGTGGTTTCTGGTGTAACTTTTGTTGACAACTACTTTTTCTGGATCAACAAATACATTTATGTACTACCGCAACTGTTTACTGTATATCTTGTTGTATTCTACATTAAAACCTGTTATAAGCATTGTGTTCTTTAGTTAGGCCTAACCATATTATATTAAGGGTTTTGTTAAATGTTTAAATTTACCGTTTATGTCTTTGTTTATGTTGTAACTGTAAACATATCTTTGTTGTCTGTGTATTGAGTATGACTATATTTTTTTATACTTGTTTTATCTTAACTGAGGAGAGTTTGGAATATATGTTGACTTAACCTAATGTAATGCTAATAGCTCCTAATACAGCCTCTATTGTATCCTTTTTTCATACTGATGTTAAATTTGTATTATCTCAAGCTACTATTCTACATTTCTGTATGGTGCTAATGACTATTACAATGTAATACTGTTGATACAATCTACTGTTCTGATGTGTTGCAATGTTGACATCTATGTTTGTTATGACTGCTATAGTCAAGAGTATAGATGAGAATCACGGTTGTTTTATTTTATAGTAAAAAATATACACCTATCAGTGATTTTGTATTTTAGAGCAATGAAAACTAATAACTTTACTGACAACATAGAAAACCTATATAAAGAATAGAGGAGAAAAATTAAAACAAAGATGGGTAGTATATGTATTTAAATATACTTTACCTAGAGGAGGAGGAGGAGTGGAATAAAAAAGAGGATGAGGTAAATGAAGAAGAGGAGGAGTAGAAGGAAGAGGGATGAGGAGGAGAAAAAGAGGAAAAGGAGGAAGAGAAGGAGGAAAAGGAGAAGAGGAGGAAAAGGAGGAAGAGAAGGAGGAGAAGGATGTCTAATTCAAGTAAAACATTTGTGGTTTTTTATTCTTTAGAGGTCTACACTATCTAGACATACAATTAAACTGTAGCTGCAATCCTTTTCAATTGTATAATCTCTAAAGAGCTTAGGTGACCCAAGTTTCCACACCACGGTAAGCCTTTAGGCTAGGCCGTATGGGTCTTGGCGCGTTTTTGATTTAAGTGAGTTTCCCCTGGAGGCCTATTCTCACTATTATGGTAGTAGTTATTCCATAACAGATTGACTACTACTATTCATATTTTTATGTTAACCTGCTTATCTTTAAAATGATATTTATTAGGTGTTCTGTTTTATTTTAGTATATTTCATTCTTGTTGTGTTTATTTTAAAATTTATGAAGTTTATTATATGGTGCATTGTTTATTTTAGTTTATGATTTACTAGGAATGAAGGAATATTGTTATCAGATCAAGGTCCTGAAGGAAAGGGGTTAAGGTTGGTGACATGGAGGGTAACACAACATGGTTTTATGGTTTTTTAGGCCAACCCCCAGTCTTTTAATTGACTGCCTGATGGCAAACATACTCATGGAGGGTAACACAACATGGTTTTATGGTTTTTTAGGCCAACCTCCAGTATGTTGAGCATACATATACACACATTCACACAGGTACAAGGAGTATTACAGGTCCTTTGAGATCTAAACACCTCAATGTACACACACATTCACACAAGTACAAGGAGTAGCACAGGTTCTTTCCAATCTGAATGCCTCAATGCACACACACATACACACAGGGGGAATGGGAATGGACCCATAATCTGTTTATGTATTATTATATATTTTATTATCCCAATTTACTTTACTTTGGTATATATTTTAACATTTTAATTGGTAGCTATTGTCTGTAGAAAAAGTTAGAGGAGTGTTTTATCTTTATAGAAGGATTATACTAATTTTTAGGTTAAATGCATTAGGGTTTTATGTATCAATGATACCTGCTTGGTATGGAAACAGTTGTCACTTCAATTTTTAATATACCTGTCATTGATTCTATTTTAGCAAATATACTGTCAAAGTAATTAGAGAATGATGCTGATGTAAGTGTAGCGATAGGAATAAATGGTATATTACCTGATGTGTCTTCATATGTTAATAACACTCCAATAGAACATGATGGGGGTGTGTCTTCTGTAATTATTTCTATAATATAGTCTGAAAAAGCCCTTGGCCATTCCAACACATCTATTGAATCAGTGAGAAAAAACTGAAACTCTGAAGTTTTAATATTAAACCTTTTATTTTCAACTATGTCTTTTTTAGACAGAAATCTGAGAAATACAGCCATTACAAGTGAGGAGATCACCAGTGATATGTCTGTTCTTGTTGACTGTTATGGTTAAAGTGATTAAAAACATACTATGACACCCATCTATATAAGGGTTAATGCTTCTGTCTTTTGTATCCATAAGGTAGAGTGTCATGCTCTCCTTCGTATTTTCTCTTTGGACCAGTTACCTTAAACTGTTTAACCTCCTCTGTTGTTATAATATCTCTATATTTTGTTCGTCTAATTCTGTGCTCATTAATTTCAATGATTTTAGAAGATTCACTTTAAACCATTTCTTTTAGTTTCTCAAAATTCAAAATTTTTGATGTTTTAATATTGAGAGTAAGCCCCTTGATTTTACAAACCGGGATCAATTTCTGTTGATTGGTTGACCAGATAAGGTATGCGTAAGTTTTAGGCCCCCCAGAGACAAATTCAGTGATATAAGAGCCGGGTCCATAATCTGTCAATTCATCAGTCATTTCACCAAGGTAATCTCCTGTAGATACTCTGTACAACCCTTTGCGGTAGTAATATATAATACTATCTGTATCCCAATATAGTACTTGATCTCCTAAGGCATCAAGGTGTTCATACAACTTTAGTCTAGCGTGAGCAGTAGTGAAGGCTGCCATAACTACATTTACAGTTCTTAAAGACTCACTAGCCTCTTCAATATTTTGCCAATTTACTAGCACAACATCTTGGTTAATAGCCTGAAAGTATTTTAACTTGCCCTCAGGATTGGTTAACAGCTGAAAGAACTCTTTGGAATCTCGGATGATTGATGTTTTCATCATATTCTCCCTTTGCCCAAATTTACCCCAGAAACTGTTAAGCATCAGTTTTGCTACTGATCTTAAGCCCCCATTTTTAACAATATGCTCCTTTGTCATTTCTATACCTTCACGCTCAAGAAATTTTACAATGTACTGTTTCTTATCCTCCTCTGTTTTACACCACCCGGGGTATCCAGATGCCTCTTGTTTTAGTTTTAGTTAGCCACATATGAGAAAGGAGGGCTATTCACTGAGTTTATTAATAAATTTCTAAAACTAAAACAAGAGGCATCTAGATACCCTGGGTGGTGTAAAACAGAGGAGGATAAGAAACAGTACATTGTAAAATTTCTTGAGCGTGAAGGTATAGAAATGACAAAGGAGCATATTGTTAAAAATGGGGGCTTAAGATCAGTAGCAAAACTGATGCTTAACAGTTTCTGGGGTAAATTTGGACAAAGGGAGAATATGATGAAAACATCAATCATCCGAGATTCTAAAGAGTTCTTTCAGCTGTTAACCAATCCTGAGGGCAAGTTAAAATACTTTCAGGGTATTAACCAAGATGTTGTGCTAGTAAATTGGCAAAATATTGAAGAGGCTAGTGAGTCTTTAAGAACTGTAAATGTAGTTATGGCAGCCTTCACTACTGCTCACGCTAGACTAAAGTTGTATGAACACCTTGATGCCTTAGGAGATCAAGTACTATATTGGGATACAGATAGTATTATATATTACTACCGCAAAGGGTTGTACAGAGTATCTACAGGAGATTACCTTGGTGAAATGACTGATGAATTGACAGATTATGGACCCGGCTCTTATATCACTGAATTTGTCTCTGGGGGGCCTAAAACTTACGCATACCTTATCTGGTCAACCAATCAACAGAAATTGATCCCGGTTTATAAAATCAAGGGGCTTACTCTCAATATTAAAACATCAAAAATTTTGAATTTTGAGAAACTAAAAGAAATGGTTTAAAGTGAATCTTCTAAAATCATTGAAATTAATGAGCACAGAATTAGACGAACAAAATATAGAGATATTATAACAACAGAGGAGGTTAAACAGTTTAAGGTAACTGGTCCTAAGAGAAAATACGAAGGAGAGCATGACACTCTACCTTATGGATACAAAAGACAGAAGCATTAACCCTTATATAGATGGGTGTCATAGTATGTTTTTAATCACTTTAACCATAACAGTCAACAAGAACAGACATATCACTGGTGATCTCCTCACTTGTAATGGCTGTATTTCTCAGATTTCTGTCTAAAAAAGACATAGTTGAAAATAAAAGGTTTAATATTAAAACTTCAGAGTTTCAGTTTTTTCTCACTGATTCAATAGATGTGTTGGAATGGCCAAGGGCTTTTTCAGACTATATTATAGAAATAATTACAGAAGACACACCCCCATCATGTTCTATTGGAGTGTTATTAACATATGAAGACACATCAGGTAATATACCATTTATTCCTATCGCTACACTTACATCAGCATCATTCTCTAATTACTTTGACAGTATATTTGCTAAAATAGAATCAATGACAGGTATATTAAAAATTGAAGTGACAACTGTTTCCATACCAAGCAGGTATCATTGATACATAAAACCCTAATGCATTTAACCTAAAAATTAGTATAATCCTTCTATAAAGATAAAACACTCCTCTAACTTTTTCTACAGACAATAGCTACCAATTAAAATGTTAAAATATATACCAAAGTAAAGTAAATTGGGATAATAAAATATATAATAATACATAAACAGATTATGGGTCCATTCCCATTCCCCCTGTGTGTATGTGTGTGTGCATTGAGGCATTCAGATTGGAAAGAACCTGTGCTACTCCTTGTACTTGTGTGAATGTGTGTGTACATTGAGGTGTTTAGATCTCAAAGGACCTGTAATACTCCTTGTACCTGTGTGAATGTGTGTATATGTATGCTCAACATACTGGAGGTTGGCCTAAAAAACCATAAAACCATGTTGTGTTACCCTCCATGAGTATGTTTGCCATCAGGCAGTCAATTAAAAGACTGGGGGTTGGCCTAAAAAACCATAAAACCATGTTGTGTTACCCTCCATGTCACCAACCTTAACCCCTTTCCTTCAGGACCTTGATCTGATAACAATATTCCTTCATTCCTAGTAAATCATAAACTAAAATAAACAATGCACCATATAATAAACTTCATAAATTTTAAAATAAACACAACAAGAATGAAATATACTAAAATAAAACAGAACACCTAATAAATATCATTTTAAAGATAAGCAGGTTAACATAAAAATATGAATAGTAGTAGTCAATCTGTTATGGAATAACTACTACCATAATAGTGAGAATAGGCCTCCAGGGGAAACTCACTTAAATCAAAAACGCGCCAAGACCCATACGGCCTAGCCTAAAGGCTTACCGTGGTGTGGAAACTTGGGTCACCTAAGCTCTTTAGAGATTATACAATTGAAAAGGATTGCAGCTACAGTTTAATTGTATGTCTAGATAGTGTAGACCTCTAAAGAATAAAAAACCACAAATGTTTTACTTGAATTAGACATCCTTCTCCTCCTTCTCTTCCTCCTTTTCCTCCTCTTCTCCTTTTCCTCCTTCTCTTCCTCCTTTTCCTCTTTTTCTCCTCCTCATCCCTCTTCCTTCTACTCCTCCTCTTCTTCATTTACCTCATCCTCTTTTTTATTCCACTCCTCCTCCTCCTCTAGGTAAAGTATATTTAAATACATATACTACCCATCTTTGTTTTAATTTTTCTCCTCTATTCTTTATATAGGTTTTCTATGTTGTCAGTAAAGTTATTAGTTTTCATTGCTCTAAAATACAAAATCACTGATAGGTGTATAATTTTTACTATAAAATAAAACAACCGTGATTCTCATCTATACTCTTGACTATAGCAGTCATAACAAA